GCATGAACAAGAGGCAAGCTTGCACGCTGGACCCTATACCAAGAGAATGACACACACACCATTGTAACACACGTACCAGTCATGGAATTAGAGTGTCTTCCATAACCAACTTATTTTAATTACCAAAGCCCTAATATTTAGCTGTGCCCCATTACAAAAAATAAACATGACTTAACATTTTCACACAGAGGAGTAACATAATTTGGACTCTTTCCTCAGCATGATGGGAAGTCAAATTAAAAGTTTCATTCCATTTTCTAAATATTTCACATAAATGTAATGTTGACAGCATTTATTAATATTAACTATTCAGCAGAAAAATTTATCAAACAAATATGTATATATGTATATGTATATACACACACACAATTTGTTTTTTACTTTTTTTATTCACCCTAAGACAAAATATGTACATGCATCATGATTTTTGGCAAGGATTACATGGTTTACATCATTACTATCAACACTTTGGAAAGTTTGAGAAATAAACTGTCCTGTCTACTTCATAGCTAGTCAAACTCTCAACAACAACCCACAGTCACAATTACAGAAATAAATTAGTTACAGCACTTTGCTTAACTGAAATGGATCAAAAGAAAGACAAATCAACTTGCCCTCTCGAAACCAAAGATGTCATCAAACATGCTCTCAAATCATTGCAATCCCTTCACAAACAACACTTAGCAGGACATCTGCAAATAAACAAGTAGAGAGGAGGAAAGTACACAGCTAAACATGTCATCAAAATTTATGTAGGAATATATGATGATGCGTTGCATCAAAAAACATCATGTATTTTGCAGCGTGACTGTTATGGAGCAGCCGCAGGACCAATCCGTGTGTGTTTTCTGTTGTTTATGCGGGTTTAACAGACATGTCACACATCACCAAAAGGAAATGAGAATAAGGGCCAGGGAGAAATCTAATTAAATTGATCTCTTATAAAAGATGTGATAATTTCTTCAAGGTTTGGTGGGAGAGTAGGGAAAATATTCAAAACCACAAATAAAGTACATAATGACCCTTACAAGAAGTACTGTGTCTGTATCCTATGGCAATACCACACTGACCAACATATTCATATACTATGGTTTGAGTGAATCCTACAAAAACTGTCAAGCAATGTCACATTTCACGCTGAAAATGAAATGAAAGAAAAATTATATTATGCACAATAAATGAAATATATTTTCTCAGTCGGGCCCCCAAATGGACATGGTTGTGGGCCCCTCTCAGCCTCTGGGCCCTATGCACTCTGTCCCAGGTTTACCCCTGTGTGTGACACCCCTGGCTACAGTCTACTGGACATGAAATAAGACAAAACAGTAGTTGAATATATTTAGAAAGTTCGCTCTCAAAACACTCTAAATGTAAATGTGGTTGGCTGCGGTTTATAATGGAGTGGTATAATTAACTTCTCTGTTGTTTTTTAACTTTCTTGACTTTTAAAAAAAAAAAAAGAAAGTACATGCTAACTCAATTCAATCCAGCCTTTTTTTTTTGTCTTTACCTACAACATTTTTTTTTTCCCAGAAGGAGCAGGAACACTTTGAGAAATGCAGATTCGCAGCATGTGGCGCTACGCAGAAAAAAGGGAGCAATTTGGCCTGTCTTGAGTAATCTTCTGAGATTTACCATCCAACAATAGTCTGAACTATTCTCCACGGTGGTTGAGCATGTGTTTGTTTTTGTGTGAAATGTTGAGTGGCTCACATTTCAGTGGCGCCTTTCTAAAACCATGTTAACACTTCTTTTTGGTCTTTTTATTCTGCTGTCTCCTTTAATTGCCCCTCTGCAAATATGAAAGGAAGAAACAACTTTTTCAGCATTCAGCAATTTGGCACATATCCATGTGACTGTTTAACAAGCCAACACTGTCACACAAAACTTTGTGAACGCAGGGAAGGTGGCCACATGAAGCCAGTTTAGTAAAAAAATGGCCATTTCCTCAACAGACCTAACCAGAAATCTTATATATCTATACATGGTTGTACAGAAGTAAAAGCTGAAGACAGTGCCATATTTCCTTGATTATTTTGCTGCTAAGGCACATGGGAGCTCTGAGTAGGTCCACTCAGAAAGTAACTGGATTTAAATCAGCTTGTGCCATTTTATCTCCACATGACCCTGATCACAACTGGTCAGACCGTGGTCCATCTCCAAAGCAAACACATTAGGCAGCATTGAAAAACAGCCAAGTACGCTGCAGGTATCGGTTTACCAAACCGATAAGAGAACCAAAGGACGAACGCTAGAGCTCTCTCTCCACACTAGTGATGACGTGTTAAAATGAGTCCTCGTCCCTCGGCACAGCAAGCAGGTTTGGAACACCTCAGGGATGAGCAAAGCTAAGTAATGCTGACACATCCAGAACTGTGTCAACACTTTCGGGCTACTTAATTAACAAGAAAATGATGACAAAAAAAGCGAGGAGAGCCATTAGTGATTCAAGTACTGCTAACAAATACTGAAGTAGCTGAAAGTGAAACGAAAGTATAATTTAGTGCGGGGGAACTAAAGAAAATGAAGTAGTTGGTGCCGATAGCCTCGTGGGCAGTGTGCTACAGTGCCATTGTGCTTCGGGTGTCCCAAGTTCGAGTCCCGGCTCATGGACTTTTCCCGATCCCGTCCCCCTCTATCTCCCACTTCGCTTCCTGTCTAGCTACTGTCCTGTTATAATAAATGCAAAAACGCCAAAAACAAATCTTTAAAAAAAGAAAATGAACTAGATTTTACAATTTCTGAGGAAAAAGTGAGAGGTGTTTGCTTGTGCAAAAGTCACCAACACAATACCAAGGTGCTGAAGGTGGTTGCTAAAACTCTGAAAAACTACCCAGGCTCATTGGAAATACATGCCTCTACCTAATTTCCGAAAAACTCAAAAAAACGTACCTATATGTATGAATCGCTGCAGTTCAATCCAATGAACAGACTGTACATCTATACCTTACACCTTTTCATTTACAACAAAATTAAAAATGACTAAAGTCTATTGTATCATAGTTTAATCACTTCTAAAAGTAATGGCACACCTCTCAACAACTTAATCTGAAGTCCATAGTACATTTTTACAGTTTAGATTTAAAGGGGTCATATGATGCTTTTTTAAATATCATTATTTTGATAAATCCCCATGTAATAATTTAGGTTGAAGTAGCAAATAATTAGTAATAATTCATGAGTGTATAAGAACACTAATAAGTGATATATGAAAAAGAACACAAGAAGAAAGGCAACTATGGAATAAAAGGAAAATAAGAAAAGGAACTGAAAAAGCTGAGAAATGTAAGGAGAGAAAGAAAAACTGAACCTTTTTTGACTTAAACTCACTGTGGAAATAAATAGAAATCATAAGGACAGTGACAGAAACAGAGATTTTAAGAGATAAGGAGGAAGAGGAAGTCTAGTGAAAATGTGTCCTAAAACAACAGACCAAAAAGAGCAAAGTTCATTTTATGCTCTCCTAATTTCTCTAATATGATGGAATACTTCTGATAACTCTGGAAAAAAACAGTCCAGGGTGCCAAAATACTAACACAAAGAAACCACAGGATCCACACATACACACACACACACACAACTGATGAGTGATACGATTCACATTCATCATTCATCTATACTCTTCATCACCTGCTAAAATAAATGTAATGCTGCACAGATCTATACTATAATCCCAAATGAAGAAACCAGGAGAAAAATGCACTGCATGGCTGTTTCAGCATATAACTTCAATTCCAACAAGAACTCAAATCTAATAAAAGATCACAGCAGTTTTAGCGTGCTACAACTCCTCTCTATTTCTACATTCAGCCCTAAAGCAACACCATTACTGTCATCAAAGCACCACTTCTGTAACATATTCAACTCTTTCAACAATACATCTCACAATGACTGCTGTCAAACTTTAAAGGTTCCTATTGGCATGCATATTACCTAGCTCCCTGTTTTTTGAGAAGGACTGTGATAGCTTTCTTCAGCAGAAAGCTTTCTGAGGGATATCGTACAGCAAATAAATGCATGTTAAATAAATTGAAACTATTGTTTTATGTGAGAAGAAAAAGACCTCCCATTGTTACAAGTGGTATGAAACTTTAACATTTTAACAATAAGATAATAAGAAGAAAAGAAGCTATTACTGCAAAGTCTTATGGGTAACGCGTCATGACATACTGTAAGCGTAATAAAGCTTGCTAGCAGCTTTTCATAAAGGTTTTGCTCCATTCTGAATGCACAATTTTTAGTACTGGCCTTGTAAATATGCGCTAGACTTTTTTCAGCGTCTCACGCCATGAACAGCATATATATATATATATATATATATTTTTAAGATTTATTTTTGGCGTTTTTGCCTTTTATTGATAGGATAGTAGTGAGACAGGAAGCGAAGTGGGAGAGAGAGGGGGAATGGGATCAGGAAAGGTACACGAGCCGGGACTCAAACACGGGACGCCCGAAGCGCAATGGCGCTACATGTCGACGCGCTGCCCACGAGGCTATCGGTGACGACGCATATTTTTAAAGGTGCATTTAATAGTTTGTTGTTAATTTTTTAAGTTTTACACATTAAGAAATGAATTGTTTTTGTGAAGAGTAATCTGAATGGTGTACACATGCTAAAATTATGTGACCTGCAATGTTTCACTAAATCACTTTTTTAAGGGAATTAATTCTTGTGCAGAGTGCTTTCTAAAACTCACTTGTATCAGTGTTAAAAAAAAAAAACACTCAGAGACAATCATGCTGAACCATGTCAGTACACCTTTGTGGTATCGGCACTTAAAAACATGAAGAACAGTGATGCATACTTTAGAGAACTACTGAATGCCCCTTTAAAACAAAGCTACAAATAAAAATACTTTTTGACACACAAGACACACAACACTGGACCAGTCTGATGAATCTTGGGGCAGATTCAGCACTCTGACATACAGTATGACCAAGCACATTAAGTGTTTAGCTGGATTTGATGCATGAACATGTATTGTGATGTAAATGCCCACCTCACTAGTCAGACCCACTGCCCCATGGATCTTAGCGATGTGTCCCAACAACCAAGGGTTCTTCTGACCCACATTTCTTAGGGTGGACAGGAAAGGAACGAGAGAGGCGGGGCTTGCCTGAGCCACGTTCACCAACACACTCAAGGCAGTGTCACTGAGATCACTATCACTGATGTAAACAATCAACGATGGCACCAAAGACGACAATACCTGAGGAGACAAAAAGACAAGGCTAAAGTTGAACCCTCATAATGCATTCAAAATCCATTTTGACCCGAATAATCTTTTTTTCTTTTTTTATAATACAGTCATAACTTAAGATTTTTCAACTAAAACCATATTGTATCTGAAGAGCAGCTTCTCATTAATGAGTGAATGTGAAAAGTTTTGAATGTTACTATGTTTTTACTGCATTTACCCCTTTTTGATTAATTAAAAACTTATTTGAAATTTGAAATTACACATGAACCACACCAAAAAAAGTGATACATTTTAATGTTGCATTGGTTTGTCAATAGGTGTACATATTCATGTTTACCAACAAAATTCAGTCCCAAAAGTGTGTGAGATATGGGGAAAAGACTAAATATATTTTTACAAATATTTCTGACACTGATTTAAATTCACAGATAATATAACAAAAAGTATTTTTGACACTAATGGTACTCCATACATACCCAGGTTTAAAATGACCCAAACACGAAACGTGTAACCTTTTTTTTTTAATTGTTATATCTCTTAAAAAAATGTGGGGAAAAAAACTATACATACACACACACACACACACACATATATATATATATATATATACACACACACATGTATTTTGAGGGTATTAAAGCACTTCTACAGTTCTCTGCTGTTCTTGGAAGCATCTAAGGACATGCAATCTGGACTCTTCACAGTGGGGATGTAATAAAAATAGTAAAAACACCACAAACACACTCATTTGGTCCTGAACTTTTCTTTCATCAAAGGTCTCATATGGTTGTAATCGTGCTGTGTAAAGTACCACAGCACTCTGGTTGGTGGATTTCAGTGCCGCCCACCCATTAACCAGAGTCCCTGGTTCCTATACGAGTTTGCAGAGAAAAACTAGTGAAGACAGTAACAGGAGAAAAAATGTGGAGCAGAAGGAAACTCGTAATCATCCTCCCACTATGGACAGTTTATCTAGATTTATCTATCTGTTATAGCAAAGCAGCGATGACCTTTAAAACGAACAGTGACTCACAGAAGAACTACAGATCATCTTGTGTGTTGGTTGACATTCATGACAAACTGCAGTGATGACTAGAGGCAAATGAGCCACATGGGTTACATGAGCTCTTTTCTCCAGCATGAAATGAATCCAACTACACCCTTTTAGCGAGGATTTGCTTAATTCTCAAATTTTTCCTTGTAAAACACTTCACCTTTGAATTGGCAGTGGTTGAGAGGACGAAGAGAGGATCTGGTGTAGCTGGGAAGGCAGCAGACAGGACGTCCTGTGAGAAGCAGGATTCCCAGCCTCTGTCAGGATGTGAAAACCACTAACTAATCTTTATTAATCCCGTTTGCTTCCAAATCACTATATAAACTAGCAGCACTGGGACAGAGAGAGCCTGGGGTATCTCCTCTCCCACATGATTTCTGATTTACTATAGAAGGAAGGCTATTGATGTACCTGTCTATTTGTTTATCTATCAATCCATCCATTTAAAAAGAAAATCTTTCATGAATTTTTATGCTGGTGGGTGCTGGTTCAGTGTTGTTCGAATAACTGGTATGACTGGTATGAGTCATATAGCTCACCAACAGATCTTAGCTGGTGAAACAGAAATATGACCAAGGATATACGGTACTGTTGGATTAAAATATACTGCGTATCACGGGTGTAAATTTCATCTAACAGTTGGGGAGGGGACAATAAACAAACTTTCTCAAGAGCAATTTTTGAAGTGGACACAAATAATACAGCCAAAATTGTACTTAAAATAATGACTTTATTCAACAATTTCTTCTCTTCCGTGTCAGTCGATGTGCATTCACGAGCGTACCACGACGCATACGTGTGATGATGCTGCTGATGCAGGAGCCAGCGTTCTGACGTAGGACCCAGATGCGCTGCGCCTTGTTTACAAGCAGAGGAATGCACACGCATGTGTCAAAGACTAACACGGAAGAGAAGAAATAGTTGAATAAAGTCGTTATTTTTGTTTTCTTTGCGCACAAATAGTATTCTCATAACTTCATAAAATTAAGGGTGAACCACTGATGTCACATGAACTATTTTAACAATGTCCTTACTACCCTTTATGGGCCTTGAACATTTCAGTTGCGTTGCTGTCTATGCAGGGTCAGAAAGCTCTCGGATTTCATCAAAAATATCTTAAGTTGTGTTCCTAAGATGAACGAAGGTTTTACAGGTTTGGAACGACATGAGGGTGAGTAATTAATAACAGAATTAAAATTTTCGGGTGAATTATCCCCTTAAAGATGCCATTAAAAATCCTATTTTATGATAGCCCCTCAGTGTCTATGATGGAAATGGCTTTGGACTTTGGGCTTTCAGAATGACAATATTAATCCCTGAAAACGATACCATTTTTCATTGAATTGTCATTTCCTATTCCGGTAAATGTTAATAAAAGGAAATGACAACAGAAGCTTTATTATGAAATAATGCCTCATAATCTTTCCTAATCTTACTACTATTCAAGTATCCAATGTTTTCACTGATGAGCTGAGTGATATGCATGTGCTTATTACCCAATGCAAAATTAACTCTTCATGACTAATGCGTTCTTCTGACTCCACGCATAGGCTGCCCCTCAATCCCCCTCAAAAAGCATTTCAAAATGTAAAAAAACAGATGACTGGTTCTGTTTCTGCCAAAACTGTGGTTTCCTCTTTTCTTTTCCTGTAAATTTATCTTCAGTCAGAGCCAGGGGTGCCAGCAGTTTAGGATGTGCTTTCTGATATTTCCCCATCCGTTTGGCGGCTGCTCAACTATGGTATCGCCAGAGGTGTCAACCATTAAACTGTTTTTCCGAGTTTGACCTTGTACTGCAGCTGTCTGCTTTAAAATAAATGCTAAATCACTCACTTCGTACTCATTTATGTATCCACCCCCTTGGTGACCTTCGAATTATTTTACTGTTCCCCAGAATAACTCACCTTGACCAGACTTCCTCCTCAAACACCACGTTCATTCTTTTGCACACTCATTTGTCTCTCCTTCACTCACCAGGGGGTGATGCTCAGAGATCATCTGCAGTAGTCTGAGCAGGTGCTGTCTGCCGGCCTGATCCACCTGGGACATCATCGCCGTCAGTTCACGGATGTGTTGATGGATGGGCTCTGGTTGTCGTGGATACACAGATGGCAGCACTCTCAACAGCATGGCATTACCTATCAAAACCAATAATTCATCAATATAGCATCAATAATTCATCTCATATAGAAAAGTGATCATTGTAGCCATAATCTATGTCCAAATACCATAGTTATTGTTAGTAAAGTACACACACACAAAAATAAATAAATATATATTAAAAAAACACAATGATTGATGACCTGAACCTCCAGCCAAGTCCAAAAAAATGTGGACACTGGTGGAAATATGCATGTCATATCCCCTGCAAAACTGAGTGAGGACTGATTCATCATCTAAGCCCTTTTCTTGATAAATGCACTGTTGTTGTTGTATGGATTTTATTGCTCTTTGTTTCCTTATTAATTTAGTTTGAAATGTCAGGCCTTGCTGTTTTAGCAGACAAGCAAATGATTGTACTACAACAAAGAACAGAAAGATTTGGAATTCGAAATTAAGTGTAAACAGGCAAATTTAGGTAATTTAAAAGCCCCACTTTATCTGGAAACAATCTATAACTTGGTGAATCTGAGCACAAGAAAGATCTCGGTTTGCCGTTTGAGCTCCAGAGGAGCTCTATGAAATACGTGTGGGAACAGGAAGTGAAAAGACACCATGATGCTAGATCATGGAGTTGAGGGGCGAATGGATGGCACCACTACCAATAAAATCACAGCAGAGGTTTTCAAGCACCAGTCAGTAGCCTCTGAAGTGTGACAGTTATAACAACATGGGACACGTTTCACTACTGCAGTCAAAAAATCCACTTGAAAAACAGATCAGATTTGCATGCAGAGGAAAACGATCATGTACAGTACAACTAAATTTGCAACTAAAAGATTGTGTAACATCACTCCAAAATTTCCCCTTAGATGTTATGCAATGGCCCTTTGAAAAGTTTACTGGAAGATTATGGTAAACAGACTTTGATTAATTAGTTTACCAATTTCCATGACCCAGCTGTTACTAACACCCTGATTTAATGTCATGAACGATTTTTACAGATCATCCACTTAACTGCAAAAAATGACACTTCATCGGAAACAAAATATGGTAGGAAACTCCCACCCAACATCAACAACAAATCTAATCTCTGCTCTGGCGAGCCATCTAAGTCATAGCGGTCGGTTAGCTGACATAATTCTGTAAATGAGATGTTTCGCATGGCTCAGGGGGGACATTTAGGATTGCAGAAGACCTGCCCACCTGTTTCTACACACAGCGGGTGATGTTAATAAAGGATTAGTGTTATACATAACCTTTCATAATGAGACAGCTGGGGAAACGTTGCTGGCCCTAGACAGTTAATAAGAAATATCGACGATCTTTTCTTTGCCAGGTGTTTTGGCAGAAGGTATCTCTATATTTTTAGAGAAATATCAACCACTAACGAGCTCAACTAAAAGTTTTTCTACATACACATGTGATCTTTGCTCCTCCAGTCATAAGAGCAGAGGTTGTGCCAAAAAAGAAAAACACAGCTGATCTGACAATATGTTATTATTATTATTGTCTGATGTAGATGTAGATCACTATAGTTTTTAAATAGTTTTTATATATATAATACATAAAGACATTACAGTATATTATTGTGCCAGAAGAGTAAATGATTGAATATGTATTACATTTTTTTTAATAAGTTAAAATATGGTTTGTTTTATTTCCATATCACTGAATCCATCGCTACCAATTCACAAGACCCATTTTTATAACTGATTAAAGCTTAACCAAGTAACCAAAAGTAAGGATCCCCCATGAAAAGCAATCCATTTTCAAAAGGACGACTTAAACCACTTCACAGTTGTTTTTAACTGTATAATTCTTGTCTGCACAGCATCTATTGTAAATGTATCATTGCATCCAGCCTGAAATATTCCTTCAATTCAGCAGTAACACATGTTGTTCAGTACAACAAATAACAAAGTGCACTCCGTGTGCAATAAATTACAAAATTGATTTCAAGGGAATGATACATCTACAGGTGTTCATTTTAATATTTCCTTCCTGCTCAGCCCACTTGTTGGGTTGTAGGTGTGAGGATGTCATGGAATATACTGTACCATATTAAAACTAGATTAGAGGACCTCATTGTCCGAGTTTGCTGTCAATTATGGAGTAGGTTCTGCTGGAATTTCATCATCAGCACTTTTTATTCCAGGGTGGCAGATTGACGGCATTAGCCAAAGCTGACCTTCCACTGTGTTCCCTTCAGACAACGAGACCAGTCATTCACATTTGTACTGTCCAGTAACCCTGCCCTGAGTTCACATTCAGATATGCCTCCATACTTTTTGCACCAGGCATCAAGAAGTAGACGCCCTCAGTGGGGAACCACATGTTTGTGGTTGATCTTCATCTGAGGTATGATCTTCATCAGTGAAAATTCATGCTGAACAGAGAACGTGCTGATAAGTACAATTCTGACTGTTAATGGACTGATGACTAATGTAAAGCTCACATTCTGGAAAGATTTGTTGGCATGCTGATGTTGTCGCAAACCTGGCTGACATAAGCAGAAAAATCCATCCGTTGCAGTTTAAGGCATTTTGTGTTGCAGACATATTAATGTCGACCTCACAAAGGGTACGTCATGGGACCTTTCTGTTTCCATAAAGCGCCACTTGGGCCTGCACATGAAATATATCAGCCATGCATCAGCCCCGGTTTAGAAGGCATCAAATTGTTTGCAGTTGGGTGTGGAGTCTTTGTTTCTGGGGAAATGTGCGTGACTGTGAAAGTGGCGCCTTTGATTAGCACCAAAATGACAGCAAATTTCTATGACTCAAACCCCAGCACCCCACAGGAAGCAAAAAACAGAATCTGAGCCTTTCTGACAAGCCATGTTTTCTTTATGATTTTTCGTCCTTAATACTCAGTTATCACAAACAAAGCTTGTGGACCCATTATTTCTACCCAGTACAAACCCAAAACAATGGAAGATTAAATAGCACATTATTCAATAATAAGATTAAATAAGAGAACACGTGAATGAAAGAGATGTTTTCTGTGGTTTCAAAACAGTCTTTTAGGGTTAGGTTTTTAAACAGTGGGTCCTATTCAGCAGATCCTAATTGAGAATGGGAAGCATGTCTAGTTTTCCAAGATTGGGATATGGACTGGAGAAAAGGAGTGGAGGTTAAGGATTGGATTTATGCCTGTTCACATTTACAGCAATTTTAATCACTGGTGGTCACAAGGTCACTGTACTTACAGTAGTTGCTTATAAGTGTTTCTGTCACTGGATAACCTGACATCACCGGTGAGCTGCATAACTGGCCCTAGCTTTTGAAAATCTGATTACAAATGAGAAGCACTGCAGGTAAAGACAGGAGATTCTGTCGCACAAGAGATTATCGTATGCTCAACCATCTACTCTCCTTTTGGTAGTTGCAACTTTAGGTCTTTGTTAACTTTTTTCAACTTCATCAGAAATATGACAACGAAATTCAGGACTAGGGGTAGGTCTGAAAGATTAAGGTACAAGATAGATGAAGGAAAAGGGGTCACAGGCAATATATTTATAACAGACATTAAGTGTCAAGGTTGGATTTAGGATTTGGGATAGAGACTAAGGGTTAGATTAGTGTTAAGCTCTTAAATAATATTTAACCATTCATTTCCCTCTGATTTTAGTGATAAGTTATAGTAAACAACTGGGTATTACAGAAATTTCAGGCCATTATTTCAAAATTCACTAGTACTTCCCCTCTTTCCCAACATCCTCCCCCTATCTCTCTCTCTCTCTTTGCCTGAGTTGCAGGAGCAGTACAACAATTTGACTACCCATACCTCCAATGAAGAATTTCTCACTGGAGCTAACTCTCTCTCCCCCCACCTCTTTCTCTCTCTCTTTCTGAGCACAATGTTTATATAGACCACAGAGCTCCTCTATCAGGCTCAGTTCCCTTTCAGCTGCAGTTCACCAAACAAGCAAGAGTCCAGCCAACCGATTGCTCAGCATCTAACAAGGAGGGCCACCAGAGAGAAAAGAGACAATTATACACAAACACTGAGCCCTGTTCATATTCACACATGGCCAGCACGTCCAAGCGGACATTCCTCCAGGCCATGTGTCTGGTGGTTTCATTGTCCATGGCAGTACCTGAGAATTATGGGGATGATATCAAGGTGAGCTTTGGAGAAGATTATTTCAACGAGATAACTGACGAGGACCAGCTGGAAGGTGAGTAACCGACAAAAAAATAAATAAAAAAATCATTGTGATCAGTACTATTAGCTGTGAGTTACAGAGACATGCAAGTGTTGTCAGGACTAATAAACTATGAGCGTGTGCGTGGACATGCCTTTCAGACAGGAGTTATATTAGCAAGGAAAAAGACAAAGAAAAACAAACAATGTGACTCATAGGGATCAAGTGTTTAAACATTTGTGAATGCAGGAATATGTGTTGCAGTGTAACAGAATGCATGCGTTGTGTCATGACATCATATAATTGAAAGTTCTTGATGGTCATAAATTTTATAGCTTTAAAGATTTTAAGTTCAAATTAAAAAAGAGCCGATCATTATTTTTAAATTGAGTATTCTACTTTATTAGTGAAACTTTTCTCATAAACGACCCAAGGTTATAAATAAATGTCATGTTTTGAAGATATGTTTCAGTACGTTTCAGTACTGTTTCAGAAATAGATTTTGCATTTCTGTTTGCTGGGATCATCCCATTGTTGCAGAAACTTAAAGGTTTTTCTTTGGTTGAGTTTCAATCAATCAATCATTTTTCTATATTCTATAGGAGTTTTCAAGATCTAAGCATTTAAGTCAACTACAAGTTGACTTAGCTGTCTTAGTTGCAATATTTCATATAGTTCACAATCTCTAGTTACATAGGACCTTGATGCACTCTCCGCTGCTAACCCTTCAAACTCAATGGTGTCATCTTAAGTACATACACAAACCATATCATCTAAACTCATGTTGTTGTTTCTCTCTCTCTTTCTTTTTTTCTGCATTCCTCTTCTTTCCCTTGATTTCTCTCTCAGAGGTGACCCCCACACCTTCCTCTGAACCCTGCAGAAGTC